GGCTGCATATGTGTTCAGATATATTTGTAATTTAGATCTGACCATTTCCCCACAAATAATGACATATTATTCTTTCTTCCTGATGGATACACAAAATTCATATATACATATTCTTGATTCATTCATCTACTGCAGGACCTCTGGACTGTCGGTAGAATGTGGCTACGGTGAAGAAGGTAGCAGTGGACACGTATCTTTACTGCCTCGTGACTTGTAATCTTTTGGATTAAGTGGCCCAGAGTGGTATTGGTGACCAGACATCTGATGCTGAACGCCATGCTTGGCAGCCTCCCTCCCCCCCCCCCGCTCCCCTCCCCCCGCTCCCCTCCCCCCCCCCCCCCCCCCCCCCCCCGCCCAGACCCTGCAGGAAGCACCACAACCATGGGCTACGCCTGCCAGACCGTGACCAGAGCAAGTCTTCCCTCCTGTTGTTGCTCTCTTGGGTGTTTTTATTTATTTATTTTTGGTCACAGCTATACAAAGGTAACCCACAGAGCTCCTTACCCAGTCAGGGCTCCTGAGCTTTGTAGGGGTCTGCGGGAACTCTGCCCCTTGCTTTGTGGCAGGATCAAAGTGTTTCTGCTCCCTGAGGTCAGACTTGTCTCAAGAGCCTGGGGAGAAAGGTCCCCAGCCACCCTCCCTCCCTCTGGCCTTCGTGGAGTGAGACCCCATGTCCGGAAGTGGAAAGAAGAGTCCAGAGACAGAGGATGCCCCCACCCCTCACCCACAGCAGCCCTGAGTGCTGAGGGACAGACTGGCATTTTCCAGGAGGACCAGGTGCCAGGGCCAGAGACAAGATAATTACAGGGGATAGCAGAAGCTAAAAATAGGCTTCCTTCGTCTCAGCTGTCTCCGGCAGAAGACACCAGACAAACCAGCCCCGGGGAGGCCCACCTTGCACAGGCTGAATCTGCTTCAGGGTGCTGCCAGCGGAGAGGGGCTCTGGGTCCTGAGAGACAAACGCCAAGTCCAGGGGAAGTGGGGCAGTCCACGGCCCAGGTGGGAGCCTGGCAGGGCAGGGGTGGGGGAGGGGGGATCCTGAGAGGGGAGGGAGGCGCACGGGAGGCTGCACAGGGTGCAGGTCCCCCCAAGAAGTAGGGGGCATCAGGGGCAGCCCTGGGGTCCCCTACTGGCAGGGTCTCGGGATGCCCTTGGGCACGGAGACCAGGTACCCCTGTGCCAGAAGCCAGTCCTGAGGAGCCAGGGCCTGGCCCCTCCCCACCTAGCTCCACAGCCTGAACCTACCAGCCCAGGACACCACCCCGCATCCATGCGGACACCCATACTGGGCCCCTGGCACCGCTGGGTAATGGGCCTGGGGCCTGGCTGCCCCTCGACCCTGGCGTCAGCCTCAGAGGGCAGCGTCCTGCTCCACTCCCAGAAGCTGCCTCCTGTCCCTGGGGACCCCGCCTTCCAGGGACCCCTGTGGTCCTCAATGACAAGTCACTTCACACCCCTGTCTCCATCCTGACAGAGGCACACTGTGTGTGCGCGCGCGGGCGGCGGGGGGGGGGGGGGGGATGCTCCTGGGGCATCTCCCATGGTCCCTGGGGTGGGGTGGGGCAGGGCCTCTCCCATGGTCCCTGGGGTGGGGTGGGGCAGGGCCTCTCCCATGGTCCCTGGGGTGGAGCTGGCTGCCCTTCCCGGCCTGGAGTCCTATGTCCTAGAAGTGCTCAGAGACTGTGGTGAGCCTTTCTTGCCTGACCCACGTCCCGCCCCCGGTTGCCTCCCTCCAGGTGCTGCCCCTGCAGAGGCTTAGCCTTCCTCCTGCGTGGACAGGGCAGGAGGGGTGCTGCATTTGCAATGGCTCTGCTGAGGGCCAGAGGTGGGTCCCAACGGGGCAAAGGTGGAACTCCGCCTGAGACGCCCCTCTTCCTGCTGGCCTTCACCACCCACAGGGCTGTCCTTGGGTGACCCCCTGCTTCCGGCAGTCACTGTGTCCCGACCCCTGGATTGGCCACTCTGGACTCCTCATTCCCGGGGAAGCGCACGGAGGCTCCCGTATGCCTCCCTGCCTTCCGGTGTCCCTGGCTCCCCCAGGCTCTCCCACGCCTGCGTGGAGCTCCCAGCTTGTGTCCCATTTTCTCTTGCACTGGGGCGGCATACATTAGCCCACTTCCTCCAGGAAGGAGGCCAGGTACCTCTTGGCTCCAGGGGCCAGATCCATGCATGGCAGCCATGGGACGGGGGCTGCGCGGCTGACCGCCCGCAGGGGCTGCGCGGCTGACCGCCCGCAGGGGTGTCCAGGAATGGCCACGCCTGTGTGGATGGGGAAACTGAAGCCCAAGAGAGGCAGAAAGTCTCCAGTTGAGCCAGATGCTCTTCTTTGCCATCTGCCAGTCTCTTCTTATCAGTCTGCCTTGCACAACCCAGACTGGCAGCCTCCCTACCCCCTGTGCCTATTCCCACCTGACCCTTAGGCACAGGTACACAGGCTACCTGGGTGTGACCCTGGTGACTTCCTGCAGACCTTGGTAGGGGTGTCCTGACCTGAGGGTGTGGCAGACCCTGGACCGGGGGGTTCCTAGTGGACTCTCCATTAGCTGAACTCCGGTGGAGCCGTGTCCACCAGCCCCACCTAAGGGAGGCTCCACTGAGCTCTCTGCCCCTTCCAGACAGTGCACCGGTGCCAGGACACTTCCATCTTGACTGCCTGGGGAGATGGGGCCAGGCTTGCTCTAGCTTCTCTGCTGTATGGAGCCTGGTCCTGAGTAATGCCATCTTACAGAGCAACAGGGTGACCCAGCTATGGTGCCCTGTGCCCAAGGGCCACGGGAGAAGGACTTCTTGCTTTGTTTAGACAGATCCACAGCCACCTGCCAGCGCTCCTGAAAGCAGCTCATTTATTGATGCTGATAAAGGATTGTACCTGAGATGTGACGGATCACCTTAGACACCCAGGCAGGCTGGGAGCTCCGCCATCAGACGCCGCCCCTCAGCTGGGCTGAGGTGAGGCAGGCACACTGGCCGCCACCTCCCCACGGGCCTTGCCCAGGATTGCCACAGCAAAGGACGCCCACCGTTCTCTGCCTCAGTTCAGGACAATTTGACTGTGACACACAGCCTGCTGCAAACTCTTGAACCGTCCCCCTCAGATCCGCTTTTCACAGCTGTGAAGAGGCTTCCGTGGCATGTGAAGCAGCCCTGCCTGGCCTTCCGCGTGGCCGCGTAGTCCTCCGGCATCTTTTGACTTTTTTAATTTAAATTTTGGTAGTTGTACTAGGGATTAAATTTAGGGCCTTGCACGTGCTTTTGCCTGGCCCTTGGTCTTCCTAGCTCTGCCTCTGGAGTTCTTGGGATTACAGCTGTGCACTGCTGGGCGCCCTCACCCCCCCCCCCCCCACACTCCCCTTAACCCTTTCTTAGCCTCTCTGTAACCTACATACTGTTGTGTGACGTGTAATGTGTGATCTAAGAATTATTGATGTTCCTGATACGATTAGAAGGCCATGACTTCCAGGTGACCTGTGACGCCTGGATGGGCAGGTGTGGCCAGGCTGTTAAGGCCCGCTGTGCGAGGTGTTCTGCAACCAGGCTGTAGGAGCTGGGAGGCCTGGGCTGCTCCACATCCTTCCCCTACACAGCCCCCTGCCTGTTTGCCCGGGATCAGAGACACACAGCTGAGCCCCAAATCTCTTGTGATCAAAGAGCTTGTCAATCACAGCAACATTGAAAGAGAAACAATGTCCGGGCCCCCAGCTTGGTGAGCAGCCGGTATGTGTGCCCGCTGGGCTCCCCGCCCTCCCCCCTCCCCCCCCCCCCCCCCCCCCCCCGCCGCTTGTCAGCTTGTCATTCTTGTCAGCAGTTTCCTTAGTTAAAAGAGACAAAGGGGAGGAAGGAGCAGAGCAGCTTTTCATTGGAGAGTATGGCACTCGCTGGGGCACCCCCGGCCTTGGAGGGTGAGGAGCTTCCTGGCGGCAGGTGGCTCCCTCCACTCCATCTGTGTCCTGCTCCCCGCTCTCCCTCCCCTGGGCAGGTGCAGCACTGCTGTGTCACCAGCAGGTGCAGCTCTGGCTCGGCCCCCCACAGCCATTGCTGCTCCATCCAGGACCCCGCAACCGCAGAACAGCCCCATCAGAGCCCCGTGGGCAGTGGAGGAGCCAGCCCTGCAGCTGGGAGGGATGGGTGTGAGGGTCAGTCAGTCATCCACTCAAATCCTAACTGTGCTGCTTGACACTGCTTTGGAAGTGTGCTGCAAGTCCAGAGTCAGCTGATGGGGAGGATCGCCTTGGGCTGTGTGCATAGGTTGAAGGCTGAGTGCAGGGGTGAGCTCCCCCGCCACACACACACTGGGGGGACACCAATTTTGGCTCAGATCAGGAGTTCCGGCTGCCTCATGGGCCAGGCCTGGCTACAGCAGCCCCATCATTGGGACAACTCCCATGATCTGGCACTCAGTCTCTGCTGCTGCTGCTTCGCCTTGCTGGAAGAGCCCCGTGCAGGCTGCCATGGCCTCCCCCTGGGAACCCAGCAGGAGAAAGGAATTCTGATTTCCCATGGGGCAGCAAATGCCCCTGGCACCTAAGTCCTCCGGCCAGTGCATGTCTAGAGCTAACGCTGGCTCATCTCCTTGGGCAGATGGGGACATAGGCTCAGAGACCAAGCTGGCCTCTGAAGCCAGGACAGACAGGCTGGCTTGAGCAGGCTGAGCAGCCCCAGCCCCAGCAATGGATATTGGCTGGCTCCCCCAAGACCCCTGTCCAGCAGGAGCTATCCTAGGAGATAGGCCCTGGCTCAGTGCAAGCCCCCCCCCAGACTGAGCCAGGCTTGGGGCTGTGGTAATATCCCCTGAGTGAGGGGCTCCAGGGCCCCCAGAACCGCAGCTCAGGTTCCTCTGGGAGGTGACGTGCACCTCACTGTGCCCACAGGTCCTCACCCTCGGGATAGGGGTCCCCCCGCAGCCCCCCCTCAGAGAAACAGCAGGGATGCTCAGAGAAGTTTCAGTGCTTTATTAACAAAATCCTATTTTTAAAAAAGAATCTGAGGTGGCAGGGGCGTGGCAGGGTACACAGTCCGGTCGGGGAGGGAGGGGACAGTGGGCACCTGTGGTCTCGACCCCAGGCCCCCTGCACCTGTGCCAGTTAATGAAGAGGGGTATGGCTTCTGCAAAAATAAATCTGTGGGGCTGGCAGGGGCACAGGGGAGCGTCTGTATGGGTGTCTGCAGAATAAATCCCCAGATTCCAGAGTTCCAGTGGGCAAGGCCTGCTGAGCTGCAGGCATGAGCGGCTTCCAGCCCCCAGGACTGGTGCTGGGGATGGACAGGGCCTGAATGGAGCCTAGCCTGGGCAACAGCAGGGCAGGGCAGGATGCCTGGAACAACCCAGCAGGAGAGACCTGGGGGCCTGCTGGGCTGGGCTGGGACGGCGGGGAAGGGGCAGCGGCCTCAGGGCTGCTGGAGGGCTCTGGCAGGAAGTGAGGACCACACAGCGAGCCGGGGCTCGGGGCCGGGCGGCCAGGCAGGGAACCCCGCTCAGCTGTGGTGGCTCTGGGGGCAAGCATCTGGTGGCCAGCGGGGCCAGCGTGGCAAAAGCCCGGGCCCTCACGCTGGCCTGTCCACTGCCAGCTCTCGGGCTGAGCTGGGTGCTGCCCTCTGCCAGGCCACTGCTTCTCTGCAGCCACACTCTCTCTGCTGCTCCAGGACGTGTGCAGGGAGCTCAGAGAGAGAAGAGGGGACAGCGCCAGGCACAGCAGCAAAGACTCCTCGGAAGCCTTGAGACCTGGGGAGAAGCAGAAGCAGCAGGTCAGTGCAGCCACGTGCCAGCCTCACTCAAACTATCTATCAGGGACGGGTGGACAGGTGGATGGGCTGCCTTCCCCAGGCTGGAGTGCCCGACGCTGGCCGAGCCTCCCAGCTCACCTGGAGGTCAGGGGAGTGGGCCTCATGAGGACAGTGGGCAAGGGGTAGCGTTGGGCAGGAGGGACGGGCTCCATTACCTGGTGTCATTCTCCTGGCTCCGAAAGTGCAGTTTCTTGCCTCAGCCAGCCCTTCTGGGACCCTCTGCCGCTGTGGCTGAGTCATCCGAGCCGATTTCGTCTCCAAACTGCCGTGAATCACTATGCTGGGGCGAGAAAGCACAGGGTCTCTGTGAGCTTGCTCAGCAACCTCCCCCGGCCCAGCCCCCAGCCCAGCCCCTTCTTGAGTCCCTGGAGTATCTGTGTTCCCAGGAGGCCATTTCCACCCTGTCCCTCAGCGGCTCCTCCTGAAAACGAACCTGCTCCCCCTCCCCCCCGCAGCTCTAAGATGTCACTGAGCAGGGCTCACCTGAGGGCCAGGAGACACCGGGACATCAGGTCTACTGCTGAAGCTGCTGGAGCTGTGGTCTCAGCTCGCCCCTGCCAGGGGCGCCATGCTGCCTGAAGCTGGCCGGCTTGTCCCCGGGAGGACACGAGGGTGGCCGCCGGCTCTACTGTGTCTGCCAGGAGCAGGCGGTGTCCCCAGAAGCCGAAGTTCCCTGGGCACTGGTTCTCTGGAGCTTCTGCCCTGGGGTACCCGTGAGCTGGGGAGCCCATTGGCTCTTGCTGTCCGGACCAGAGGGCCGGGGCTTTGGAGCAGAATGAGGAAGCTGGGGGTCTTCTGCAGTGGCCTGAGTGTGAGGACGATGGGACCACTGGCCATGGGGGAGAGGGGACAGGAAGACAGACGAGGGAGGGGCAGGCAGGAGCCTTGCAGGAGAGTAACTCCTTTGCTGTTTTGGTTGCTTGTGTCTGCATCAGGCCAGGGGGCGTGTGGGGGCCCAGCTGGCCAGAGCTCCCCCCGGAGTGGGGGGGAATCAGCCCCAGCTCAAGTCCTGGTTGGCAAAAGCCACAGGCTAGGTGTGGCAGGCAGGCTGGGGGGGCCCTGGGCTGGGCTCTATTCTGTCTGTGTCCGGTCACTCGCCATGGACTCGCTGGTGAGGGCTGGAGTGATGGTCTCGGCCTCATCCTCGGCAGGCAGAGGGGGGCCAGCCGGCTCGGAGGCCTGCTCCAGGCCGTCCTGCACCTCCATGCCCCTCTGGATGAGCTGCTCCAGTGTCTTGGGCAGCGGATGCCTCAGGAAGCGCTTGAGCTTGGGCTGCAGCGTGCCCACCACATACTGGATGATCTCCTCCTCATCGGCGTCCACGTACAGGGTCTGGTACAGGTCGCGCTTGCGCCACAGGAACTGGTCCAGGGGCTCGCCCTGCTTCTGCGGCAGGTCCAGCTCACGCTGGATGGCCTCCCGGGACAGTGTGCCCTCGCTGTACTGCAGGAACTCTTTCTTGAACTCCACCCAGTTCTTGACCGAGCCCTGCTTGAACTCCCACCACTTCTTGGCTGGCCCGTTCATGTGGTTCTGGATCTGAGACAGCCAATACTCCTCAGAACCGCCCACCTGCCGCAGGTACTCCTCCAGGTGGCTCAGGAACTCCCGGGGGTCCTCAAAGATCTGCGTGTCCACGCCCGGGCTGGGCTGCCCGTCCTCGCCTGGCCCCCAGGGCTGGTACGGCTGGGCCTCGGCAGGCTCCTGCCCCGGCAGCTCGCCGGTGGCGGGGGGCGGGGTGATGGCATAGGGGCTGACGGTGTAGTCATAGCCGTCGGCCTCCTGGCAGTAGCCCTCGGGACCCCCCACGCCCACGGAGACGGTGTGGCGGACGGGCTCGCTGCCCACGGGGTACTTGCCGCCCATGGACTCCAGGCGGTCGGCCCACCGCTCCAGGCGGTAGAAGACCTCCCGCCACACGTGCATCTCGCGCTTCACCCAGCGCTCCAGGTTGGCGATGGTCTCCTGGCAGCGGCACAGGCAGGCTTTGATGGACTTCTTCCAGCGCTGCGAGTCGCTGGTGGGCACGTAGCCGTCCAGGTTGCTCTCCAGCTTGCCCACGGACCTGTGCAGCCCCTTCAGCTCGCGCTCCACCTGCTTGGACACCTCGGCCAGCAGGTGCCGGTGGGTCCTGCGCACGTGCTCCAGCATCTCGGCCCGGCACTTACCGATCTGCAGGATCACGTTGGGCTTGGCCGCCGGCCCGCCCCGCGGCCCGGGGTAGGCGTGGAGGCCGCCGGTGGTCATGCGGTCCAGCTCCATCTGCGGCAGGTGGTGGCTCGGGCTCGGGTCGGGCGGGAGGCCGGAGAACTCCTCTGGGTCAGGCGCGGGGCGCGGGGCGCGGGGCGCGGGGCGCGGGGCGCGGGGCGCGGGGCCGGCAGCGGCGGGGCGCGGGGCGCTGCGGTGGGTCGGCCGGGGCAGGCGGGCGCCGCGGCGCGGATCGGCGGATCGGCTGCTCCCTGCAGCTGAGCCCGGGAAAGGCGGCCACCAGCTCTGCGCCGAGCCTCCGCCGCGGGCTCTTTATGCCGCCGGGGCCCGTGGGCGGCCCCTCGCCGAGCGCCGGCTCCCATTGGCCCCGCGCAGGCCCCGCCCGCCGGCGCCCACCCGCGCCCGGGCCCGCGCCGAGGACCCGCCCCCCGCACACCCGGCCTGCGGGAGGTGACTAATGCGCCCCGCGCCGCCCACCCGCTGCGGGGGACCTCGGGGCGCGCGGGGCCGCGGGGGACAGCGGGCCGCGGGACACCTGCCATCCGCCCCGGCCAGGAGGACGTCCTCAGGTCCTCAGCAGCGGCTGGTGCAGTGTGTACACGAGTGTGCCCACACATAAGTGCACAATATATACCTCCACGCCTGTGCGCGCACACACCAGCGCCTGCTAGCCAGGTGCGGCCTGGGCCTGCCCGGGGCCTGGGGGGGGGGGGGGGTGAGCCCAGTGTCATGATTAGATCGGCCCTGGGGAGGTGCAGGCTTCACTTAGGTCTCCGGGGAATCTGGAAGCTGCTGTGTGGGGACCCGTGTGGGGACCCGTGTGGGGACTTGTGTGGAGGGCGAGGAGGGACGCAGGGCCCTGAACACTGCAGGGTGCAGGGCAGAGCCTCTGGCCAGGAGCTCCCAGAGGAGACGGGAGGCTGAAGCTGGGAGGGAGGAGGAAGAGAGGGGAGGAGAGCTGGGAGGGAGGGAGGAAAAGGAGGAAGGAGGAGAAGGTGCTGGCAGCACTCGGCAGCCAGAAGAGGCAGAGGAAAGCAAGGCACCATATAAGGAATGGGGCTCCGGAAGCTGAGATTCCCGCAGAAGGGAGGCCCCTTCCGCTTCCCTGGCAACCGCAGTGGTGCATGGGGGGAGGGGAGGATGCCCTTCTGGACCTCTGAGGCTGGCTGGGCCTGGGTCCAGTCTCCATCCTCTGGTGCTCCCTGGGGGACCGGTGGGTGACACACCACCACCCACTGCAGAGGCCCACAGACGGCATGACAGCAGGGACACGGGACCCCTCTGCCAACGCCCTCTGCCTCTGGCTGGCCACGGGCGTTGTACACTCATATTACCCCACTCGCAGCCATATATACCTATGCCCCCACTCACTCTGCACACTCATGCCCAGCCCTCCTCTGGCTTGTTCAGTCATCCTGGCGCCCTCGCTCCCTGCCCACCCCTCGGAGCCCTCCCCGGTGCTCTGGAGGAGCCTGGGTCCTCTCGGGGCCAGCCTGTCTCTGGTGCTACCCCTGGGCTTCCACCCCTGGGGGAAATGTCTTTCTGGCAAAAAGAAACTCCCCAGAAAGGGCTTTCTTGGCATTTCTAATTAAAGGAGAGTGGGCGGACACAGAAGGGAGGGCCGAGGGGCACCCTTGGGGAGGGGAGCCAGGCAGAGAAGCTACTAGAACAGAGACCAACGGGAGCTTTCCCATGGAGGAATCCCTGGCACCGGAGGCTGCCGGCTGTGTCTGAGCCTTGAGATGCCTGGCTGTCACCAAATGTCTATGCCGTGGGGTCCAGCTGATGAGCCTGTGTGCCAGAGAGGAGCCAGCCCCAGTGGTTTACAGGCCAGCCCTAGGTTCCTGGAGCCCACTCACAGGACAGGCTCTCTGGCCGCTGCCCGCAGGCATGGGAGGCTGTGTGGATGAGTAGGCAAAGGCTGGAGCCGGTGTGGGGCGGTGGACTGGACGGAGGCCAGCATCCTCACCTCTGTCGGGGAGCTAGACCTGGCCAGTTGAGACCCTAACCAGCTGGCAGGGCAAGCGCACCTTAAACCTGTCCCTATGGTGAGGCCCCGAGCCCCCAGCCTGCCACAGCCTGGGCATGGCGGACCCCTCCTCACCCCTGTCTGTCCCAGCTCTCCAGCTGAAGAGCAGAATGAAGGTCGATCCAGCCGGAGGGAAGGGCAGAGAGCATGGGGCGGGGGATGGGGGCTGACACACAGATCCCACCTGCCTTCCGCCCTGCAGGGTCTTGCAGGGCCTGGTGACAGGTGACAGGCCACAGCCACTGCTGCAGCTCTGGGAACATTTAATCGCTGCCCAATTATCGCCCCAGAAGTCCTCAGCAACCCCCGCACTGGAGCCTGGGGCTCTATTCTTCCACCTCTGGAAAAGAGGCCGGGCTGGCTCCCCCTCCCATCAGCAGGCGGGGGGGGGGGGGGGGGGGGGGAGGGGGGAGGGAGGACTGTGCTCCTCCTGCTCCCCCGCCCCCGCCCTCCTCCAGCCTCAGGCAGGTTTAGAGGGGCTAATCCAGGCTGGGGGCTGCAACAGAACAGAGGGGACCACTGCCCGTTTCTTGAAGCCTGGCTGCACCAGAGGGGCTGTGGCGGGGAGGGGGTAGGCCAGGGTGAGCATGGGGTCCGTGCAGCCTTGGACTCAAGCAGCTCCCCCCATCTGGCCTCTGCCCCATGGCCCCAGTCTCCAGTCCCCAAGTCCCCAGGTTTTAGGCAGCTTTTGGAATGTCAGGAGCCCCAAAGCCAGAGGCCCCCCCCACCATGTCCTAGCCCCAGCCCAGGCCCCTCCCCCCCACACCTTGCCTCTGACAGGACTGACAACTGTGAGCCCCCACATGGGGGCTCCTATTCAGCAAGCAGGGGTGGCCCTTCCCCTGCCTCTGCCTTCCATTGCAGGGACACAGCTGTCCCTGCCTCTCTGTAAGGGAGGGGTCCCCCTAGTGGGTCCTCAGTGGGGCACAGCCCCCGCACCCACCTTTGTGCTCTGCCAGCTACTGGGCATATTTTCACAGGCTTGGTTCTGGCCAGTCCCACCTGCTCCTATCCTAGCTCAGCCGGTTCTCCCTGGTGACCTCCCAGGCGGGCAGTCAGCACGGCTCGGCAGAGAGGCTGCAATGTCTCACACACACACACACACACACACACACACACACACACACACTTGCAGGCATGTGCACACACTATGCACCTACACACCCACAAACGTGTGCACACAATGCACAAGCGTGTCTGTGCATCCACGATGCACATGTGTATGCACACATGCACAAACACACTGAGCACTTGTTCCACAGCCCCCGGGGCCCCTTGGGTCTAGGCTGAGCTGGGCTGGGCTGGCATCCAGACGCCAGGGCAGAAGGGGAGGGGCAGTGATCTGGCCCCTTCCGCTCTCACCTGCTGAGGTCCCGCCATCTTTGAGGGTGCACGGGATGGGGGCATAGGCTTCCTGGCCACTGCTGTGGCTGAGCTGTAGGGTTCTTGCCTGGGACCCCTCCGTCCCCACTCCTTGGCCAGCTCGCTGGTGGCCAGCTTCCTGCCCCCTCCCTTTGCATGGGATGTCCTTTGCTGCCCAGGTGCAGGGGTTGCAGCCACACAGCCAGAGACTCAGTCCCTGCTGGCCATGACCTACAGTGACCCACAGCCTGCTCCCCACGCGGGGCTTCCCAAGTGCCCTCCTGGGCCTGTGGCTGACAGAGCAAGGGGTTGAAGAAGGACAAAAGGGTGGACCGCTCCGGCGCTGCTTCAGTCAGGAGTGAGTAGCAGGCTGCTCACCCGAGCCTGCTCTCTCTTGTGTCCCAGAGAGTGAGCAGGCCAGGGCCAGGCTGGGACTGCAGGGAGCCACCTGGAAGAGTTGAGGCAGGGCTGTCTTGCTGGACGCCTTGCATGGGGTCGAGTGTCTAGGACTGTGTCTGGGAGGAGGGGAGGTAGGGGCAAGCTCTGATGCCTCAGGAGAGGGCTCGAGGGGGTTCCTCTCCCGACAAGAGGTGAGGCACTACAGAAGGGGCGGGGGACACCTGGCCTGTCCACCCGCCCCCACACAGAGCCGCCGAGGCCCCCACTGCAGTGCTGGCTAAGATGGGGAAGGACAGCAGGGGAGAAAGAGTCCAGAAGCTGTGAACCAAGGACGGGCCAGGGGGAACACAGAGGGAGGGACAGCAAGACCAAAGAGGATGAAGGAGACCATGAGGACAAGGGGGAGGCAGAGAAAGATGGAGAAGCAGAGCTGCAGCTGCCCCAGCTTTCTCAGGAAGTCATCCTTGCCCAGTTTCCACAGGGGGGGTCTTGAGAGGGGAGAGACCTGCCCAGCCTGCGGACCCAGCAACCAGACTGAGCTTCAGGGCGGAGAGGGAGAGGGGCGGGGGGGGGGGGTGAGAGAGGCAGGGTGATGGACCTGGAGGGGCTCCCAGCTCCCTCCCCTGTAGCCACACCCCTCCCCTAGCGGCAGGAACATTTTCTCCCTCCCTCCCTCCCCCGTTCCTTTCTTTCCTTCCTTCCTTCCTTCCTTCCCCTCCTGGCTTGTGCTGTGTGCTGTATCCTTGTCCCCAGAACAGGCAGCCTGTGCATTTGGAGGGGGGGGGCACCAGACCCTCCTCCCTCCCCCACCTCCTTCCTGCCTCCTCCCTGCAGCTTCCACAGCTCCGGTCCAGCCTCCAAGGGAAGCTTTGTATTTTTCCATGGATCCTGCACAGCCTGTTACCCAGCGAACCCCACACCCCCTTGCGGCCCTGAGGCACAAGAAGCCCAGACCGTGTCCATCTGGCCAGGGTCAAGGACCCACAGGGTTGAGGGCCCAGGGAGTATGAGAGTCCATCTCAAGGGTCATCTGTTCCTCACCAATGCCACCTCCCAGCCATTATTCAGAAGGGGAAACTGAGAGGGTCCGTAACTTGCCTGTCACCAGCAAGGAAGGCCAGGGCGCTGGTAGAGGAGGGCAGGGTGTCTGGGAAGACCTGTGGACATGTTCCCACCCTGCATGGCTGTGGGTAACTCAGACACAGCCCCTTCCCTGGCCTCAGTTTCTCCATGGTAGTCCTCACTCACTTTTGCTCACTGCCTG